GGGGTGAAATTGAGTATATATATATATATATATATAATTGAAGAGTATCATTTCGAGCCAAAACAAACCAAACTTGAACAAACAAATCTTTGTTTTATTTTCGGCTCGTTAACTTAATAAACTAGCTGAACACAAACTTCTTAACGAGCCGAACATAAGCTGTTCGCGAACAACGAGTCGTTTTGGCAGCCCTACTCATCTCCTTCCTCCCTTCTTTTCGATCTCCGACTCCAGTGACACTATCTCCTATATCTTTCTACGATATTCTCTTCCATATACAACTGCTATTATTTTATAGGTAATGTGGTTTGAGGTTTGCCACTTGTGGCTTGCTATTTGCTCTATTTACAGCTTGTGACATTTTTTCCATTACTCGTATGACCTTTATTCTTTGGTCTATGTTCAAAGGGTCCTATTAGAGGCTCTTTGCAATTTCAGGCATTTTTCCATTGCTCGTGTAGCCTTTGATCTTTGCTCTATATTGGAAGGGTACGATTTGAGGCCTTTGTGATTTCTGGCATTTCCCCTTACCTTTCAGGTTCTGATCAATGAGTTTTGTGGCTTGTTATTTGTGATTTGCTGGCCTCTGGGAAGAAATTTTATTTGTTATTTGTCATGTCTGGCTTGCCCAGTAGGGTCTCTTGCTTTAATTTGTATTTGGTTTAAGAAAGGTAGACTTGCAATGTGGTTTTATTGCTCCACTTATTGATTTGGTTTGTGTAGGTTGTTTGCCATCTTTGTTGGATTTGGTGATCATATGTTGGTTGTGGTTTATTAGTGTGGTGGTAGAGGTTTGTTGGTGGTGTGTGTGGATGTTGGTGATGATTTTTTCGAGACATGGTGGTGGTGATGTTGGTGGTTGTAGATTTGGTGATGGTTTTTTTGTGTCATGATGTCATGTTGTTGGTGGTTTGTTGGTGGTGTGTGTGAATGGTGTTCGTGGTTTTTTGGTGACATGGAGGTGATTGTGTTGGTGATTTTAACATTCGGAAAAGATGAGCTGGAGGACTTCTAGTGCCTATAGAGCATTATACTGATACCGTGGATTGTATTTTTCTCTGCTTACTTCGTGACAACAACATAACTATGAGAGATAATTTTATAAGTGTCTAATGAATAGAATAAATAATTGTGATTTATTCAAGTGGGCACATCGGTTCGATGATTTTACCATCGATAGTGATCAGACATGGAGAATTTCGTTAGAGAAGGGATTACCTCGTGACATTAGCATTTTTAAAAAATATTATGATAATATTAATTATTATTTTAATAAATTTAGTTTTAGTTTTGATTGTTGTGTTACTCACTTTTTAGTGAGGTGTAAGTTTTTATTATGTAATATTCAAACTTGATATATCTTCTTATGAATAAAATATACAACCATGAGTAATTCTGTTATAAGCAGCACAAAACTACAGATGCAGAAATATCATGTATTCATAAATAGCTGCAGCACAACTGTTGCATAACTGCTTAAAACAAACAGAAATATAACTTCCCTGCAGTAGCTTTCTGGCACTGCTGTTATGCAACATCTTTTTAATAAGCTATAACCACCCTAAATAGACTCTTAAACTCGAGCTCAATAAAGTTATTCAAGCTCAAGCACGACTCAAGTGTGGCTCGAGTTCTACTCATCTCGTTTACACCCCTAATTTTGATATAAATTATATTAAAAAGGACTAAAAATTATTGATTTTACTTTATATTAACTTATTCAAACTCACTTAATGTAGTATTAATTTTATGTAGCATTATTCCTAAAATAAATTTAATAATTTTAAATACTATTCAATCTTAATTTATATCAAAATCATTCGATATTTTTTTTCCAAATTTATTTATTGCAAAAATATCATACGAATTATTTGATCTAAAATTTAAAATAACAAAAATAGCAAAATGAAATTTATATGTATAAAAAATAACCTGAAAATTTCATTATTTACCAGTTTTCTTTCAAGTGAAATTATTAAAATTAAGTTCAGGCCATCAACTATATTTTTAAAATTAAGATAAAATTATCAAAATATGTAGATGTATTTAAATTCAGCAAAATAAACAAAAAAAAAAAAACAGTAAAAAATATTAATTTTTTGTTTTTAAAACTTTCAAAAATAGCTATAAATTGAGTAAATTTATGTTTTACATATCCTTATTAACAAATAGGGATGTAAACATCTGCTCGTTTATATTTCGAGCTAAAAAAGTGTGTTCGTGTTCGGCTCGTTTGCTT